CGCTGCCATCTGCGCACTCCCAATCATGTTGGATATGTCCAAGGTATCTTGCAAAAGAAAGATTCTTGGAAACAGTTCAGAATGTATAAATGACAACAGAGACAACTTGGGTAGCAAGCTCCGATTTGCTTTGCCAATAGTTTTTAGTCAATCTATTATTATTATTATTATTATTATTATTATTATTATTATTTTATTGTTATTTTATTGATAACATTTTATTGTTGTATACGCATTTCCTCCAAGCTCCCAACTAGAGAGCTAAGGTCAGAAATGGATATTTTTCACTAATCATTTTAGTAACAAAAAATAAAAAATAAAAAAAATGATAAAGCTCTTTGTAATGTGTGAGCTCTCCTTGTGAGTACATTTTTTGTATTTCTTTAAAGCATGGGTGACCAGAAATCCGTACAATGAATGTGCCGGAGCCTTTTCCAATCAATTCGAGGGCCCCGACTACAACTGAAATTCTTATAGCCTCATGTGGCACAGTTTTTAGATTTACGCTTCAGCATCCTTGTATTTTGATAGAATTTTGAATATCTTCCAATAAATGCAGGGACTGCCATGTCAATACGAAAGCACACTGTTGTTGTTGTTGTTGCATGAAGGGATGGTGTTAGTTGCCTCCCACGGATTCAAAGACAGGAGAAAAATAGATTTAAATCATCTATAAGTTTTCTCGATAATAAAACAATTTTCGGACTTAAGTCATTTCAAAACATGCTGTCATTGTTTACGTTAAGATATATTTCATGAGCAGAAAGGATCGATCGAAAAACATCGTCTAAGTTGTGTTTTTATAAATAGTAATTCGAACGCAGATCACCGGACGCTCATCTGTGGCTGAATGTAAACATCACTTCAGGCTATGTGACGGTTATCATCGGAGAGCGCACATTTTCTATAAAATTTCTTGAACATTCATGCCGGTAAATGTAATTAATACAGTTTAATTAAAAAGATAGCATTTAATTAAATAAATTATCTCTAGAAAAAATAACGCATAAGCAGAAAATATATTAAATGTTTTTATATATATATATATATATATATATATATATATATATATATATATATATATATATATATATAATGAAAAACAGACCAATTTTAAGGTACCATTACAATAATACATGTATACATATATATATATATATATCTGTACATATACTCCTCCTACCCCAATATAAAGCATGCTTAAGAGAGATATGAAATTAACCACTCCCTATACTCTACCTTGTCTCTTTAACTACAACTCTCAACCCCCCACTGTTAAATTATAAAAATTACACTACCCATCAATTTCTAATCGCATTTTTCCTTTCATTTCGTTGTTGGAATTGTTACCTGATGATTCGGAGTCCTTTAAAAAGGATTTTTGTGAAATAAATTATTGTAATGGTACCGTAAAGTGGTCTGTTTTTTCATTAAATATTAGCTCTGTATTCACATTGAGCTCTCAGGATTTCATCCTCCTTGGAATTACCCATTCGGTTTACCAAGTTCTTCGTAACATAAATAGAATATATATATATATATATATATATATATATATATATATATATATATATAATTTTCTTATAACCGAACAGCCAGATTACTGCGCATTTAATCACTTTTCGAAAGAACGGTATAGAGAGAACCAGTACACAGAGTGTGCCAAACATCTTAAACCATACACATCAGGTTTGGAATTCAGTTTCCCTTGTTCCAGACTGGTTGCCAACCAAGGCTAAAGAACTCAGTCTGTCCTGTTATTTTTCTATAGCAAGTGGGAGAAGAAATGAATCCGTTCATTTTACAAGGTTATTAGGGCGTAAGTGAAAATAACGAACAAGACTGGATATCGAACTAGGCTCTCCGAATGCTCATTCTGAGCCACACATCGATATATGTAACGAGTTTCTCGCTCTCAGTGTCAGGAATTTGCTGTCCTCCGAGTCAAATCTTACTCCTTACGAAGCTCCATGTGTTTTCAATCCGTTTAGAATCGTGCAAACAAGCTGTCTAATTCATCACATATGCAGTGCATCAAATTTATTCCGATGTTCATTATATTTTTGGTGAATATAGATCGAGCAATATCGTTCATATAGAATAATATTATTTCTTAAAGTACTGGAATTCTTATCGACCCACTGCTCCAAGTGTACCTTTAAAATAATATATGCTAGCAGTATAACCCGTCTTCGACCGGGTCTTTCATTACTGGGGATTTTTGCCGTTCAGTTGGAGCAGTTTAATTTTAAAGTCAGCCCACCCGAAAATCAGTATTAGTAACAACAATTGGGTGCAACTGAGGCACATATCTAAATGGAAAATTAACAATTTGAATTGGTGAGGTGTGGTCCTGAAAAGGGCCTTTCTTGCGTTCTCAATTTTGTTTCAGCCTCACGCCCAGTAGCAGTTGAAGAAGCGTTTCTCCTCTGCCGTTGAGTCCTTTGATCATCATTTTCAAACTCGCACACAGAAGCATTCAAGTGTGCTCTTCTGAAAAGCCGATGTATACGTTGATCTTTGAACTTAGTGACACTAATTGAAGCATTACGGGAAGCATTTTCAGGCAGGCGAATTTATCGTTATCACTTATTCGCATGGCGGACCTGGCGGCAGCGGTTTTGCGACCTAGACAACTTCTTTTCTTTGGTGGTATGTCTTAGGCAAGTATGAATTGTCAAATGGAATGTGTAAGCAAATACCAGAAGAGAACGCTGTAAAGCTGCAGGGATCACTAAGCTCGAATAACTTTAGGAAAGTTTGGAAAAATAAATGTTGATTAATAAAAAAGCAAGCTTACTTATTACTACGGTAAATACAATGCAAAAACTGACAAGACAATAAAAAAAATAATTAAATTGGGAACGACTAAAAACGACAATGAAAGTAACGTCCTAAAACTGTAGTAGTAGGCTTTGTGCAACGGAAAAGGTTACCTCACTTGAGAGAGATTGGTGCTTGGCCAAGAGAGGAGAATGTATAAGCAGGATTGGACGTACAGAAGTAGAAGGGGAATTAAGCTGTAGCAATGAGCTTAAGACTGCGTAAACAATCAGTATGTCACGGCGACATTTGATTGGACGTGTAAAGAGGCTTCATGCAGCCAATGGGAAACTCGAACAGGTGTCACGTTACGCAGGTCATGCGTATGCGCGTGCACAGCGCGTTACACATCATGTGATAGAGCGCGTGTTGCACGGCCAACCGTACACGCGTTGCTAATAATCAAGGTCAGCAGCAACTGATAGGTAACGTGTGGCAGTGTGAATCACGCCCACACATCATAATCTAGGATTGGAAGGTTATGTGTGGAAAAGTAAATTAAATTTTGCCTTTGATTTTTGCGCAAGATGTAAAGAATCAGTTTTTGCGCATTTTCTTCTTCAAGGTTGTAATTTTTCCTACCAATTTAAACTCAAAACCAGCACTGAAGAATTATCTAACAAGCCAAAAAAAAATAAATCATCGAAATCGGATGAAAGCTATGAAAACGCATAAACAACATCCGATCACACACACACGCGCACACACGAACCCACACACATTTTGAGAATTATATAGATAGATTAGATTGACACCGTAAAGAAATCCCGATTAGCTAGCATGTCCTTGCCTCACCCGAGGAGAGAACAGCATTTTCTGGTCTAAAGACTGGTTGAACATCGGTTTGGGGGCATTTGGTGCCTCATTTCATTTGATTTTCATCGAGAATGCTTCATAAAGATGATGCAGTGCTCAAATTCACACGATTGCCACTATTAGGACATGACATTTTCCTTTTTCGATACTTCTTTGCTGCCACAACGCCTAAAAATCATAAATGATAATCATAGATACAATTCAAAGAAGCACCTGTAATGTTATTGGTCCTGACCTGACATCTCGGCTTCAGTCATTTTGCATCAACGTAATATAATTTCTCTGCTCTATAAATATTTTCCTGGTAATTGTCCTGAAGAGCGTTCCTTTCTATTACCTTGTCTTTACGAATTTAAGCGCAGTACTAGACTTCCAGCTAGGTCCCATCATTTTACAGCTGAATTTACTAAATGTAATCGTAAATCCTATGCTAACATTTTATTTTCTCATCCTTCTCGCACATAAAACGCCCTAATGGCATTTTACTTTCCAGTCTACTTTGATCGACAATCTTCTGTCTTCTTAATTCCTTTAATTCTTTTAACATTCTCTGATAATAATTCTCTTAATAATGTGTTATTTTTCCTAAACCCTTGCGTCTTAAAGATTTTATTGATTGTTAGGAGTAAAAGTATTTCTTTTTAAAAAGCATTGCTATTTTTAAATTAATTTCTCCTTTGATATAAAACACATTCTTCTACTTACCTTTTTCAGATGTCATTCAGGATTTATTTTAAAATTGAAATGGCTAGATATAAAAGTCCTATGGTAAGAATTTTAAATACAATATCAATCATTATATTCTGTCTTCTTAATTCTTTTTCTTTTATTGTTCTTAATAATGTTTTCTTTTTCTCATATTCTATCAAATTTAGTAACCCTCTTGTATCTTAGTGGCTTTATTACCTTGCTTAGGGTGAAATGATTAAAAAAAAATAGGAATTAGAAAATTCAGAACAAGTCAGGAAAAATGTCAGTTTGTTTGCATCTGCGGAGAGCATGCCGGTTTTTCCACTGACTGCGAAGGCTGGTGTTGCCATCATACAGCAACTACACATTGAGTTTTCAATAAGTATTTACTTTATGTAATCATATAATCTGAAACAGCTTATCATGTGAGACGCAGTGTACATAAATGTAGGTAAATCAGTAAGTTCTACGACTCATGGTGAACAAACATTTATTTTCACATCACATTTATTTTTATACGTAATATTCTTTCCTATATATAATATAGGCAAATCGAATAAAAAATCATCTGTGTGTTAACTCCCACGTAAAGTTGCTTAAATACAAAAGTCATGGGAGCATACATGTATGTAAATTCGTTATATTTGTGCAACAATCGTCCTTTTGAATACTCATGATTAAGAAGATTAGCCAAGATAGATAGATAGAAAAAGACTGGGATAGATAGATAGATAGATAGATAGATAGATAGATAGATAGATAGATAGATAGATAGATAGATAGATAGATAGATAGACTGGTGGAAGCACGCAAGCACGCCCGCATGTATGTTTGATCAGTTAGATTTCGAATTTGAAACCCATTGTCATTTTTTCAAGGAAGTGATTTGTTGATTTTATCGGTCTGTGAAGCGATCCCAGCAAGTGATACTGTTGGGAAGTTTCTGAAAACCATACCAGGAATTGACTAAAACCTTGTTAGAACAAGGCTACAAATCATATACACGAAGGTTTAAGACGCTAATAAGCCAACAAAACCAAGAGACTTGAATGGGCTCACTATTACAAAAATTTCACTGTAGAAGACTGGAAGAATATTCTCTTCTCCGATAAAACGAAAGTTGAGCTAAATTCAAAGGATAAGGTGAGTCACTTTTATCGAACAGCATTGTATATATATATATATATATATATATATATATATATATATATATATATATATATATTGAGGAAAGATATATGACAAATTGGAAAACGTTTACGATCATGCAACTGCACATGCGCAACAACGTGACACGCTGAAAAAATTTATAGAAATACATTTTTTTTTTTTAAATATCTGTTTTGTGTATATAATCCAGCGAATTTTATTTAGATTATTTTTCTTTTTGTTTCCGCCAACTTTGTTATTAAACTTGTCCATACGTATGCTTGAAGTTCTGGCAATGGTGAAACGTTGTAAGAACCTGGACGCAAAGTTACTCCGAATGAACAAGCGACTAAAGCACTTTTTAGATATTTTCGTCTTAGTGAATTATTTTCTCTTTTAATCGGAGTAGCGTTTTTTAAGTACAAAAAATTTAAAAATTTTGATCTAAATTTCAAAAGATCAGCTTCACTCGTTCATGTTCAGTCGCATCAACAGAAACAATGCTAGTCCAATGTAGTTTTATAGGACAAAACACGTGACGCAAAAGCAAAATTTTTATGGATATGTAAAAAATTATATATCGTTCTTCTCTCTCTCTCTCTCTCTCTCTCTCTCTCTCTCTATCTATCTATCTATATATATATATATATATATATATATATATATATATATATCGATAAAAAATATATATATATATGTTCGAAAAAAAGAGAGAGCGAGAAGGCGATGGATAAATCGTTGTCTAAATTATGCAAAAATGAAAATAATACTGACATTTTAATATATATATTTACCAAAATGACACAAAAATATATGGAGATACTAAAGTGAAAATCTATCCAATATAATCATCATTGTCTTCAATCACGGGCTTCCGACGACTTTAACTGCAACTGTTTTTTAATTTAGTGACAACTGCCTTAATCCTTTCCATCATTTCATCTTTGGTGTTATGAAGAGATTTGTGGGACTCTCGTTCAACTGCGCCCCACACGTATTATATATATATATATATATATATATATATATATATATATATATATATATATATATACTAGCAGCAAGGCCCGGCGTTTCCCGTGCTTGATTTAAAAATCGTACGACTCATACAGCAATCGCTATCACTTGACTTAAAATATTTTTGCCCTTCTTTGCCTTTAAAGGAGTGCCCTTTGCCGTGCTGATGTTTCTACATGCCTTACTTCTTGCCTATTTCACACTGCGAATTTTTTCTAAGCTCTATACTAAACATTAAATCTGTTACGAAAAACAAAATGAACACAAAACGATCAGCTTTAAAAAAAAAGGACTCGTAACTGGAGAAACCAAATGAAAAAAGAATGTTAACAACAAATACTTTTTCACACCCAACCCAGTTCTGCGGAATCAGAATCAACGTTGAGTTCAAGCAAGAGAATGAGCCAATTGGAGTAAAGTGCCATGCAGATTTAAATTTTTACCACTTTTGACGAATGCAGCTATCGATTTTTTTGCTTGCTAGCATGCTAGTTAACATGCGTGTCAGTCAGCTGTTGGCTCTCACGCTGGCCAATAGAATCTTCCTGCCTAATCGTGGCAGCCAGCTATAGGCTCTCACTCTGGCCAGTAGAAAATGGCCGCAAATTACATGAAAACTGCCCTAGAAGCATGAAAAAATCTATTATTTCAACTATCGATGGGAGTTGGGAAATGCAAAGTCAGCCCCGGGCTTCCCAATAACTTAGAACATGTGCATGTAAATTTTGATGCAAATCCGTCGAAAATTGCAGCCGTGCATTCGTTACACACACACACACACACGCGCACACACACACACACACACACACATACACACATCCTGCCTTATATATATATATATATATATAATAAATCTACACCAATCTTGCCGATAATTACACTAAGATGGAAGTGAAAAAATAATGAGAAGACTTTTGAAGGAACCATAATTCCAGTGCTAAACAGGGAATAAGGGATAAACCTCTACTCCTGATTAAAAGATCTGGGAAGGGTATAGGGGAACCTATCTACTCTTAACGCCTTTTTTAACAGACATGAATACATATTATTTTTAAAGTTCCACTTCCTGGATACACGTGTTCGAGTAGATGTACTTTTCTTATAAGCAGTGTAATGTTACATCTATGAGTTTTTGCATTTGAGATTATTAAGATATTAGTGAAATATGCCTACGGACAGGGATTGAACCTTCGTCCGCTTATGGATGCATATGAGAGAGTACGTTAATATATGTTCGTGTAGATATTTTCCTTCATCTATCTATATATATATATATATATATATATATATATATATATATATACACTAAAGTACATATATGAATAGAATCACACATATGCATTCATATCTGAATATTTTTATGAATGTACTTTATCTTCCGATATTGAATTTGAAAGGACAATATCTATATTCAAGCCTATCTATTTATTTGTAAATATCTCTGCTAGTCGGATAACATTACAGTCTATTGATCAACTTAAAATAATATTGCCATTGATGTCAAGGTTCCCGGCGTGAAGCTTTGAATTACACTCTCCGAATGAATCCTTTAGATCCTGATGTGTTTCTCGGGAATCACATGTTACGAAGCCAGCAAGCGTTGGAAATTATTTTCGCAATGCCTCATTTCTAAAACATGTTTGATTCGAAAATTGCATTATTTAATCAAATATGTCAGAGCCTATTTGAAGGAGCCTTCAAGAATTTACTCAGTGACGGCCATCAAGTCAAACTGCACGAAATATGAGTTTAATTTATTGATAAATTTAATTCAAATATTATCTGCCAGTGTCAACATCTCCGTTTAACTTAGAAGATAATTAACATATTTCCATATTGATATTCAATCTTACAAGTATTCTATTATACACACACACACACATGTGGATAATGCACACCCATACATACATACATATATATATATATATATATATATATATATATATATATATATATATATATGTATATATATATGTGTGTGTGTGTAAATTCAGATAGATTGTCTCTTTAAAACGTCAATGCGAACATGAAAGGAAAACTTGTGTCAAGTCGTGTCCCCCATAGCTTGCCTAACTTTCCAGCTAACCTGATGAATATTTATGAGCGTTTTTAAACTCTGCGCGCGCACTTCCTGTGTGTGTGCATGCGTGTGTACGTGTATGCGCGTGTGTTTGTGTGTGTGTGTGCATGGATACTTAGGTGAATTATCCTCATAAGGGACACATAATCAATGGTGAATAAACTTCCAATTTGCTGAGGTACTTACGAAATGAACAAACGCCCAGGAAAACTAGCGAAAGGGTCCAGCAAGCAAGTTCTTTTTTCATTGGCTGATGTGCGTGACTGTGGCTCCATATGATTATCATCTGTTCCCAAAATTAAAAAAAAAACCATATATATATATATATATATATATATATATATATATATATATATATATATTGTGTGGTAATATCCAGTTACTGTACTTAATATCCTGAATGTATTCATTCATTCATGATAAGTGGCCCTGGGCAATTGTCAAGGGAAGATAATATTATTGCAGTGATTGTCTAGCTGAGTATTGAATATTAGTATCACGAGTGACTCTATCGAGTTAAGACCACATCAAAACACACACATCAAAACATATATATATATATATATATATATATATATATATATATATATATATATATATATATATATATATTATCAAAACATCCGACAAAATAATTATCAAATCAAATAAAATCGGTAGCCATTACAAAATCGATGAGAAGGTGTACCATTAACGAGGAGGGTAATAAGTTTTATCAAAAGATACCCTACAACTGGGAAAATAAAATTAATAGTGAAACCAAGAAAATAGCCACTGAACTAAAAATTGATGATAAGATCGAAAAATTCCACAAACAACAAGAATTCATAACAATTAAAGATCACAAGACAAATTGCCCAAACAACCCTCGATACCGATTACTCAAACCAACTAAAAATAATATCGGTAAAATCAGCAGAAACATAATGACCTGGGAATTAACCAGTGGCATAAAACAGCAAAAGCCATAGAATATAAAATGGAAGAAGGAATTTACATGCATCCAATTCGATATATGTGAATTTTACCCGTCCATGTCTAACAAAAATCTAGCAAAAATTACTGTCCTGTTAGTGATCACGAAATAAATATCATAAACCAAACACAAAACCTACATTATTCCATAATGGCTATTAGTGGATCAAAAGAAGTAACCCAGAATTTAATATTGCTTATAAGAGCTTTTCACTCAGCAGAAGCACGTGAATTAGTTAGAATCTTGTTATTGGGACGACTAACATTTATTTTCGGCATTAATGACACCCGGGCTCTATAGAGATGACAGTGTAATTCTCCACCCTAAATCTAGTCGACAAAATATAAACACGTTGAGAAAAGAAATTGAAAATATTTAGCAAAGATCACGAGCTAAATATTGCCACTACCTTCAATGCTAATGTGATCAACTTTCTCGATATGACCTTAGACTTGAATAATGGTTTTTACAAACCATATACCAAAGAGCTGTATAACATTAGATACCTCAGTAACGAATCACCATCCATCATAACACCATCATAATATTCTAGATAATTTATATAAATCAGTCCAAGTTCGATTATCTACCAACTCCAGCAAT